ATTCAAAATAATTTAAGAAACTGAGGGGCTTTAAGGAAATAATTCAAACATAAGGGTTTTTAAAGAAAATACATTTTTCAGGGGCTTCACAATTTCAGAGTGCATGCATTGCCTAACGACCATTCCAGTCTTTATTGGTACGCCGCTATTTCATTTCGCTTCGACACTTATGGATAACATAGATTACCAGGAGGTGATGATGTGCCAGCCTGATGACAACCACATTATAGGGTGGCTTACACAAAAGTAGCTCCAGTGTACTGCGTCGGCGCCATTTGCAAACCTGTTTGGGGCTCGCTGGATGTGATATAGCGATGTTAGTAATGCTTTCGATGCCTGCCATTTTCTTGCTTTGGGAAACTTTTAGTTATGTGTTTGTTGGAACTGTACTAAAACAGGATGGTTGTGTGTGCATGTTTTAAACTTTTTTCAATTTTTTTTTTTTTTTGCTAGCTATGGTGAACAAAGATTTGCATGTTTGTCCGAGTTCAGGATGGAAGAATGGTTGTGTGTTTATTTGGAATGGAATAAGATGGTTGTGTTTGAATTTTACATTAAAAATGAAATGCGAAACGATGGGCTATGAATGGTGCTTTTGTATTTATTTATTTTGTTTGCGAAACTGTTATGTTAGATTGGCATGATCTTTTGTGGTTGTGTTAGTAATGCCATTGCCGTGTTAATGGTCCCCCTTTAAACAATTACGACCAGGTTCACTATTTGTTTAATTCATATCATTGTGCATGCAATTGTACGTGACTATTATGCGTTAGTAATGCCATTGGTAACGCAAATTTTTTACATTAAAAAAGATGTCGGCATTCTGTAATTGCAAACTGTTATTACATTTGAGTCAATGCATCACATGCAAACTGATTGAAACTGTGCCACTGTTGTAGGTTTCGCAAGAACCAAGACGTGACGAATCCTTGGGTTGAAGCAACAATGAGGATTTAAGGGAAATTCTTAATCAAATGGCCGTACAGCTGCAACAACAAAACAACTGGACATTTCTACAAGCATGCCAGTATGTCACAGAGTGGTACGAAAAACACATGGCTAAAACGCCATGTCGTACTTCTATATTGACCGGGCATGCATGGATATCCAAACTATATGCAGGCCATATGGGTCGATTTGAGGAAAATGTTTGCATGTCGAAGCAAGTTTTTGTCGCTTTGTGGGAGACATTAGTAAATGATTTTGGGTTACAAGTACCGCAACGTCCACATAGCTTAACTATTGAAGAAAGCATTGTAATGTTTATCCACGTGTTGAAAGGGATACAAAATCGGGAAATCCAAGAACGGTTCCAACATTCGGGAGAGACTGTGTCTCGGCACGTGCATAACGTATTAACTTCCATGAAAGAGTTCACTGTTGTTCATTGCCGGCCCACATATAGTCAGCATCGTATACATCCATACGTGCGGTCTAAATGGAAATACCTACCGTTCAAGGTACTATTGAAAAATCGCACCCAGTTATTTGTGCCAAGTCCAGTTATTTTGTTTTTATTTTTAAGTGGACGTGACGTATGAAAATAACCATTACATGTACCCGTAAGAGTAACAATACAATTGGGTTGTTGGCAGGACTGTATTGGAGCCATAGACGGAACACATGTAAGTGCATGGGTTACGGGGCCAGATGCGTCAACATATTTCGGTAGGAAATACTGTCACACGCAAAATATCATGGCCGCGTGCGATTTTGACATGTGTTTCATCTTCATTTCGTACGGATGGGAAGGAAGTATGCACGATAGTTGTATCTTCAACGAGATACTAACAAATGACAATGCCCCATTTCCACATCCTGAAGAAGATAACACATTGCATTGAAAAATCGATGGGGGTATAATTTTTCGTAAAACATCGTTACTTGAAAATGAAGCACAATGTCAATTTTTGTGTCATAAATTCTTGTACTGTCTGCAGGCAAATATTATCTTGTCGATGCTGGCTATCCAAACCGGGTAGGTTACCTAGCACCTTTCAAAGGCAGCCGTTACCACCACCAACAATTCCGAAGCAGTCAATAGAACAAGACAACAAAAACCCCAAGGGAATTATTTAACAAAGTTCACTCATCGTAATGCAGTGTGGTGGAATGCACTTTCGGTGCCTGGAAAAATCGATGGGGGTTTATTAGAGACATGCCTAGGTATGACTTTGCAAATGTGCAAGTTCAGTTAGTAGGTGCGTCAATGG